AATACGCGCCCCACTCTAATAAGCGCCCACGGCGATATTTGCGAATATATTGGCTACTGAACAATCCCAATTAGCACCCCTTCCGATTGATCAATGTTCACAAGACTTATTTATTCGTGTATGATGCCCATTTGTGTGTTATATGCAACCTTAATTATCGGCAATAAAATTCTGTAAAAATATATCTGTCGAACATGAACACAAAATTTATCTTTCAACTCTGTTTTTTTCACCAAAATAATATTCTAATAAGAGCCCCCCTATTTCTAATTTTGACAGCGCCCTGGACGCTTATCACGTCAAATACGGTAAGCGTTTGTTGCCTAACACTGCAACCGGCAGTACTCCTGCCATACAACGGCAGCCTGTAAACGAATTAAGACCAGACAATCCAGTGATCAGGATCATGATCAATGATCCACTTCATCAGTGTACGATTTATCAGTATTGTGTGTCATAGTATCCATGGCGTGGATCTTTGCTCAAAACATCAATCCCCGGATTGTCTGGTCCAGGTTTATTTAATAACGGCCATCGTCCTATAGCTTAAATATGCCAATGGTATTTGGCTTTAAACAACAAAACAACAAAACAACATAACTCAACAATATCACTTGACAGAGAGTAGCAATACTGCATGCAAGACTTTCATCCCTACTGATGATAAATTCCCATCTTAAACAATATCCGTGCATTGTTGCACTTATCAACAATCTGCATGGCGTATACGGACCAATAATATCCTTCAGGTCAGCAAGTCAGCAGGTCACAAACTACAGTGAGCTATCCCTGTACAGGCCATTCATAAATATCACATGATCAAATCTCCAACAGGCAAAACCATACAAAATTTCAGCGATGATCTCCCAGAAATGGCCTCAGACCACAGTTAACTAGAATTACCTCACTGAAAAGATATAATTTTGACAAACAAATATTCAATTAAATTGAAGAGAAGCCCGAGTGAGATAAGAGATTCAGATCCTGAAAGGATGAAAATCTAGACTTGCTTCATTTAGGGATATAGCATCACAGAAAGGGCTGGGGGGTAGGGAAACAATATGGTTGAGGGACTGTGAGTCAGTCTACACAGTTGCCAAGCCCGGAAGCTTTTAAGGAACATGGACAACAGACTACCCTCTGTGAATGGGTTGTTCAGCCTGTGTCAGACAGTTTTGTGTGACTTGTGATTGCTTAAATGAAAGATGAGACTTTGTATTTTGTTGAGTTGACTCCAGATTCCCATGATCGGACCCCAAGTTCAAGGCCGATGGGAAAGCATCGGCTCAAAACATCCAGCGACGATTGTTGACAGTAGTTACCGCAAAATCAAGATAGAGGATCGAGGCTGACATTTTGCTGTTTAAGAGATAAGTGGAAGGTTAGTCAACAGGATAACAGCTGTGACTGATATTAATTATTGCGGGCTGTCATGTCACGGCACAGAGAGAAACTTATTGTCTCTGAGCCCATGTTAATGTGCATGAAGATTGTCAAAGGAGTTGAGAGGACGTGCTTGATATTGGCAGGTACAGACAGTAAATCCTCCCCACCATCTGGACCATCCATCCTCTCCCTCGCCGAGGCCCACAAGGACAACAATATTGATCCTCCCTATCATATCTATGTACACATAAGCTATAGCTCCTTCCTTGGTGCAAGTCAATAAGGGAGCAGTCATTGTTGAAGGGAGTTGGGGAGCAGTCATTGTTTTGCAGTGAGTGAATATTGGTAAATGCCCCAGTCAGCAGTGATTAGCTGTAATATGGTGTCCCGGATCAGACAATCCAGTGACTGATGCATGCGGTACGATCAGCGTCATCACGTTACGATGACACCTGTCAGCCTCTCTTCAGTCAATGACAACAAGAAGGAGATGCTTCTCCCAATGGGGTGATTTAAAGAGTTTACACAAGTCTGACCCTTTCCCGACGAAAGCCATTGTTTTCAGTGATCCTCATCAAACTGTCTGATGATCAACCATCGTACTGATTGTCTCATTACTTGAATACTCCTGGCTATGAGTGAGTTGGGTTTAACGTTGCTTTTAACAGTATTCCAGTTATATCACGGCGTGTCAGCTTAATGTGGGAGGAAAGTCCGAAGTGATGCAGGTCTCACACGTTTACCACTTCGGTGAAACCCACGAGCACGGGTATGGTGCTGACAAACCTAGAAACATAATCGGGATTCAAACCCACAATCATAGGTTTCTGGCGTGCCCAAGGGACGCAACTCTGCACAGCGAATTGCAGCGCCTTAGACGACAGAGGTAGCTACAGTTGGTTTGTCCAAGCGCTTCCGACTGAGACACCACCACGACCAATTTGCCAATTTATGTTTGGTTCACAAATCCGCCAGCTTAAACATTTTGAAATGTGAAAAAATACATCAAAAATGAATATCAATGGGGTATCTTTATTTTGCCACCAGAAATTAGTAAAATGTTTAAAGATATTCTTTTACTGTTGCTATCAATATAAATGTATTACTTAAAATACTTTAAATAGAAACTGTTGAAAATTTATCTTTAAACTTCAAAATGTTTGTCACAGAAGCTTCCTAACTTATGTCTATCTCTAGTCCCCTGTCCAAACCTTATTTTCCTACCAACTTAATATTGGAGAAAGTAAAAATTAATTCGAAATAATTTTTCTTTCTTTTTACGGTGGCGGTTGGGTAGCCTAGTGGTTAAAGCGTTCGCTCATCAGGCCGAAGACCCAGGTTCGATTCTCGACATGGGTATACAATGTGTGAAGCCCATTTCTGGTGTCCCCGCCATGATATTGCTGGAATATTGCTAAAAAGCAGCGTAAAATCAAACTCACTTTCTTTTTACGAGCTACCGACCTGAATTTTGTGGCCAAATATCTGTGAACAAAAAAAAGTCTGGCCCATGTCGGTTTGTTTTTGTTCAGCCGTACAAACATTTAAGCATCATAACCATCTCACGTCCGAGGTAATATTATAAAGCATCAGTCACACATGATGTTTTAGTTATGCCCAGTCTTATTATTCCAATGGTCTATCTTCTTGGGCAATATTGAGTTGTATTCCACAGACAGGGTCAATGACCCAATCTTAGAGGCCATTGTTTTACCCAGAAATGACTAGTTCCATAATCTCAGAAGACATACATAACTGCAGCCGTAGTAAGGACCTCCTTTGCACAAGTTATTCCTAAACTGGTGTCATCGTCAGGAGTCTCAGACAAACTGATTTTCCTTTTATATCAATCCTGGTTGATTGAAGCACTGCAAGTAGCTCAAAATTGCTGATACAGCAAAATGCAGTATAAATTGTGTCATTGCTTACTGCAACACAAAAGACTTTATTGATAGTATAGATGCATGGAAGAGCACAGTTGATTTTACTCTGACTTACATACATATATATATATATCACAGCTAGAAGGGGGCACGGGTGGCCCAGTCGTCTAAGGCGCCCGGATTAGCTGTGCAGAGTTGCGTCCCTTGGGCACGCCAGAAACCTATGATTGTGGGTTCGAATCCCGGTTCGCCCCAATTGTGTTTCTAGGTTTGTCAGCACCATACCCGTGCTCGTGGGTTTCACCAAGGTGGTAAACGTCTGAGACCTGCATCACTTCGGGCTTTCCTCCCACATTAAGCTGACACTCTGCGACATAACTGGAATACTGTTAAAAGCGGCGTTAAACCCAACTCACTCACTCACACAGCTAGAGATCTATTACAGCAAGAGAGAGTCTGGTAAATCATGATTAGTTTTACCCAGTCACATATATATATGTATATACCACACGGGTAACTCAGGTACCCGGGTCGGGAGGGTACTGAGAAGGACTCGGGTACCCACAGGACTACCCGGACCCGTGGTTTATCACATGATATAATATTTAATGACAAAAATTATTTAGAATTCTATGGTTACACTATAAGTGACTAATGTTTGCATTCCTTATGACTTTATATGTTTGAATAAAGATAAAACTTCAGTCAACTTCAGTTAATGCATGACCAGATTGGTTTTTTTCGTGTATCTAAATACACTTTGCCAGGGCTACAGTCAAACTATTCCCAGTCGGACAGTTTGGAACTGTCTCTTGAGACCTACAGCGGGTACCCGGGTAGGATCAGGTAATAGGGGTATGGGTACCCGGGTAGGGTCAGGTAATAGGGGTGTGGGTACCTGGGTAGTACGGGTATACAATAGCGTTTTCAGTTAGGAGGACACCGCCATTCAAAGCATTCAGCTCCAGACAACGGTGAGTTTCTGAAGGTGTTCAACGATGGACAACACCTACAGATCTAGCAGATGGTTCTAAATACAGGGTCTGTGGTGTGTGTGTATGCTAGCCCTGTGATATAGAGCTGATCTGCAGTCCCTGAAAGGAAGACACCGCCATTCAAAGCATTCAGCTCCAGACGACGGTGAGTTTCTGAAGGTGTTCAACAATGGACAACACCTACAGATATAGCAGATGGTTCTAAATACAGGGTTTGTGGTGTGTGTATGCTAGCCCTGTGATATAGAGCTGATCTGCAGTCCCTGAAAGGAAGACACCGCCATTCAAAGCAATCAGCTCCAGACAACGGTGAGTTTCTGAAGGTGTTCAACGATGGACAACACCTACAGATCTAGCAGATGGTTCTAAATACAGGGTCTGTGGTGTGTGTGTATGCTAGCCCTGTGATATAGAGCTGATCTGCAGTCCCTGAAAGGAAGACACCGCCATTCAAAGCAATCAGCTCCAGACACAGTGAGTTTCTGAAGGTGTTCAATGGGCAAAACCTACAGATATAGCTGTATGCAACGTAGGGACTCTTTGAGTAAATCTACTTAATTGAAAGAGCTTCCTGGAAATCAGATCACTTATAAACAGAAGATAATTTAAGATTTCATAATATATCCAAATGGTTCCTATCTTGTACATTGCCCCATGTACCAGGAAACTTGACTTTACATCACCCCACTCAAAGGGCCCCTACCAAGAACCAAACGGTCAAACGGTCAGTACTTACAATGCACTGTCAGGTAGATCCATGACCCGTTGACCGTCGTCTCTTCAGCGCCATCTATGAATATGATATTACACTCGTACCATCCCTCATCTTCTGCCTCGATGTGACTGATCTCCAGAGATACGATATCGGCTAGCTCGATGCGGCCACGGTGTTGCTGGTAGGGTACCTGTGCCGGGTAGCCATCGTACTTGATGAAGATGGGTTGCTGGAGGCCATCTTTTTTCCACTGTATGATGTAGGGGACGGGCTGACCTCGGGGATACTTGAGGTCACAGTCCAGTTTCTGCTGACCACCGAGGCTGGCCGACTTTCTGATAGTGACCGTCTTCTGGCTGATACAACAATCTGAAACAACACCAACGTTAACATGTAAGGTGTATTCAAAAACTGGGATTCTGATAGCGGAATGAAAATAGCGATAATCGTCTTCTGGCTGATACAACAATCTAAAACAACACCAACATGTAAGGTGTATTCAAAAACTGGGTTTCTGATAGCGGAATGAGTATAGTGATAATTGTCTTCAGCTGATACAACAATCTAAATAACGCAAACATCAAATGTATATTCAAAAACTGTGCTTCTTATATGGGAATAATAATAGCAAGAAGTCATTCCTTGAGTTGATCTGAAAGGTTACAACCAAAATCTGGCACTAAAGCATGTCATGAGAAACACTGAAATGACCAACATCAACATGGAGTTAGTGAGGATGTTTTAACATCGTTAATTCCAGCAAGATCATTGCCTTTGGCACGAGTCAACACTTTTACCTAAGAATATCAACATAGAAATCAATCTGAGGAATCAAACCCAGACCTTCGTCATGATGAACACTTCAACCACAAGGCTATCCCACCTCCCCTATATCAACATAGAAATCAATTTGCATGACAATATAGAGATAATTGTTCCATTTCAAGACAGACGAACACTCATTACGTTCTGTCCAATCTCAAGACAACAATGGCCTGTCCTAATCCTATCAGTCTTCTGTTCTTCCTGCTGACGACAAACAACCAGACTGACCACAGGGCAGGCACAGGGTTCATAACCAAACAACATTCTTTAATCCTATATCTTGCATGTATACAGTCAATCTTCAGACTCATTCCTAAACCATTTCCCCTAAAACATATCCGATCTATATCATAACCCAGTCCACACAGATCAAAGTCTTGTTCAATTATCTACCCGTAAAAATAGTATATTCTGACAACTAACCACAAATTAGGAATTACAGAGCTGTCTCTTCGCGTTTATATACCAGGATAAATCCACAATCTATTTCCCTGAAACTGATCTATTAATGCAACTTTCATCCCATGTTCACTAATATAAAGTCTCCCTGAGCTCTTTGGGGCTCGCAGCCAAGTAATATTACAAGAAAAACTAGTTGTCATGACAATATGACATTGCATTAATAACAACATGTCTGATAGCCAGCTCTGTTTCAAGATGGCTTTTTGTTGGATTATATGTACTATATTAAAACTGTTATCACAATGATTTAGAAGATAAGCATATAGCTGTGTTTTCAATTTGGAGCTAGCTTACCTGAGGATCTAATCTTTCGAAATTGAATTTGTAACCGAATGCCAGAATATTTATGTCCCTCTGTGCGTCATTTCAAATTCAATTTACCTCCATCAAATCAATTCTCTAAAAATCATATTATGAATAACTGAAGAAAATCAGCCTTGACTGTGCGTGGTTTTAAAACTGTTTTCTAGAAGATTGCACTTGCAAGTGACCTTCAATAATCCACTAGCCACGGGCCGCAAGGGTTTGTGTTTGTGTCAATAATGAAGGAGGCTCATCCCCCGCAACAGAACACTCCCTTGTCTTCTGATTCAGTGTGACCTCTGCGTCCCACTCCATGTAGGGATGGTAGTGCTCTACTGAACATAACTCCAATACCTTTAACAAAGGGCGAGAGTGCAACTGCCATACCTTTAATATAGGGCGGGACTGCAACTCCCATTCTTTAACAGTGAGTGAGTGAGTGTTTCAGAGCAGTGATTCTCCTTTGAGAGGCTTCTAGTGCTCAAGATGTAACGAGAGAGAGAGAGAGAGAAAGAGAGAGAGAGAGAGAGGGAGAGAGAGAGAGAGGGAGATGGAGAGGGAGGAGAGAGAGAGAGGGAGAGAGAGAGAGAGAGAGAGAGAGGGAGAAGGAGAGAGAGAGAGGGAGAGGGAGAGGGAGAGAGAGAGAGGGAGAGAGAGAGAGGAGGGTAGGAGAGAGGGAGGGAGGGGTTTGCTTTGCTCATGGGAAGGCTAAAGAGAATATGAAAAGCTGAGTGAGTGAGTGAGTGAGTGAGTGAGTGAGTGAATGAGTGAGTGAGTGACACAATGCCCTTCGGCCATGGAAGCTGTGCCACTTAACACGTGTCAGAGGGGTACACAAAGTACGTGATCTTGACTACCAGTTGTCTGACTCGGAACTCGGAATTTTTCGCGGAAGCCTTGGTGGTTGAGTGGGTGAGATCACTGACTTTGTGTGCTGGCGATTAGGTGCCTCACTCTGGCAGTGTGGGTTCAAATCCCGACAGGACTCAACCCCCCCAAAAAAGTACAAGAATCTATACTTTAAAAACAAAGTATCATCCAAAATCCAACATTTGTTACCCAGAGCCATATATCAGAACAAGTCGCCAGTCTACACAAAACCCAACCTCAATGGTGCGTTAATTAGCATCATCAACAGCCCATAGACCTAACTGCCCATTCATCACGTTGTCACACCATCCCATGTCCCATGGCAGCCAATAGACACAATGTTGCATTACCCATCTTTAATATCGGCAGTTTTACACCATTAACATCCCCAAGCAGCCGTCAACAGGCGGGTCGTAAACCAGCCAACAAACCTGACAATCAGTCCCCGTGTTAATGAGACGGGGTAAATACATTGTCCTTTTTATTTCTATCCAATAAATTAACACCAAATGTTACTGTTTGATTTGTATGATAATTGCTTCACAGGACCAACAAACTTCTGACATATCATAATTCACTATTAGGATTTATGATGATTCACAGAAAGGGTATAATTGATTTATTTATGGTTGTGAATCTTTCTCGCAGATAACGCTTTTTTGATAATAGTTTGCTAGCTTCGTGTGTATAGCAATGTAGCTTGTCCAGAAACTCATCAAAAACATATCTGAATATAATAATCTCAAAAAAAATTTTTTTAAGAAACTGCTTTAGAAATTTGCACTAGTCCTATAGTCCTTACCAAACTGCCCAATAGTTAAGGTATCACAAGGACTAGTAGAAATTTGCCATTTTTAGGGTTTTGCTATATGATATCATTACAAGGACAAGAGGACTAAAAATTTAGTTTCTATCGCTGCGAAACCATTTCGACCTTTATCCCGGCCTCAATGACACAACTTCCACCATTATTTTATCTTACCGTATTCGATGTAATAAGCGCCCATGGCGATATTTGCTAATATATTGGCTAGTGAACAATCCAAATTAGCACCCCTTCCGATTGATCAATGTACACAAGATATATTTATCTTAATTATGGGCAATTAAATTCTGGAAAAATATATCTGTTGTATATAAACATTTCAGGCTGTCTGTATAAACCACGAAATTTATCTTTCAACTGTTTTTTTTCACCAAAATAATATTCTAATAAGAGCCACCTATTTCTAATTTTGAGAGCGCCCTGGGTGCTTATTACGTCGAATACGGTATTATGTATGCATTATCACCCATTAACCCACTACGTATGTTAACTGACAATCATGTGAACTCGCGGCCCTAATCACTTTGAGAATTTGGGAAGTTAACGAGGAATAACAATAAGCATCTGACACACTCCCTCTGTAGCACGGACTACAGAAACGTCAGATAGTGTCTGTTTAATATGCCCCGTAATACACTGACAAACACACATCTGAATTTAAAATTGCGAGGGAAAAATTACAGAATCTTGTCAACTTTTATCGCTACCTAAATGACACAAGGGACGTGAGAGTGTTCGCTCGGGGACAATCGCATTTTTTCCTCAGCCAACAGAGCTGAAGAACATAGTGCCTCTTAAACCACTTTCCCAGCTCATCTTGATCATTTAACAATCGACTACTTTTTCATTTTTATTCTAAATGTCAATCAAAAATAGTTGCCATGTCAACCAAACCACCCAGCTTCAAAAGAAGCAGCATCTTTGAACACAACAATGTAAGTTCCGCATAGAATATTGACACACTTCCATCAAGCAAATTGAAATAGGAATAATCCTGGATACGCCAATCAGAATTAATATGAATTATTGCCTAAAAAACCACTGTTTCCCTTGCATGTCATTTCCCATTGGTTTTGTCACGTTTTGCCCCGTCGTATTCAATTAATTAAATGTTTTATGGAATACAAACACTGTGACCTGTGTGTGTTTAATATCTCTCCGCGTTCCATTGATTGGGTCTTTCATAACAAACCCAATACTATCCCAACAACTTGTTCCAATCAGACCACTAATATCCAAGGATATAACGCTCCAATATATTATGGGAATGGATATTATCTATAACATTGATTGCCTCTTGTTTCATTATGCGTACATCTGCCGCCAACACACACACAACTGGTGAGCACCGTAACTGCGTCTTGAGCGACTATGCCTCATAGGTCAGCACTAATCACATTTCTAAAAGGGGATTTCCGCAAGCTAAAACCAAACGTCAGAAGAAGATGGCCGACTTTGGACAAAGGCCCAGGGGTATCTCGTGGTGTGAAGCTGATTGTATCAACTTGTCATAACTAAACTAGTTACCAGGACACACATTGAAACACGATTCCTTCATGGGGGGCGAGGAAAGGGCTACAAATGGGGGAGTTGTTTAGGTGGTTCCCCCTGCAATGATGCATTAGAATAATAATGTTCTGCAGTCAACTGAAATATATATATAGTGAGTGAGTGAGTTGGGTTTAATGCCGCTTTTAACATTATTCCAGTTGCATTACGGCATGTCAGCTTAATGTGGGAGGAAAGCCCGAAGTGATGCAGGTCTCAGACATTTACCATTTCGGTGAAACCCACGAGCACGGGTATGGTGCTGACAAACCTCGAAACATAACTGGGGCGAACTGGGATTCGAACCTACAATCATAGGTTTCTGGCGTGCCCAAGGGACGCAACTCTGCACAGCCAATTGCGGCGCCTTAGACGACTGGGCCACCTGTGGCCCCCGAAATATATCTATAGGAGAGGTGAGGTGAAAAAGGGTTTAACGTAGCGTACTTGTTGTTACCCTGTCTGGCGCTCGGCATTAAGGGGCTAAAACAAGGACTGGTAGGCTTGGAGTCAGTATACTTTGTCTGAGTGGGGT